ATGTAAGTGTGCTGCCATCGGTTATGTTTGCATGGTTTTGTTAGAGCTTGCAGCATGCTGTCCAGCCTCAGGTAAAGCTGCATGTGTGAGATTGAAGTATTGGTTGCCCAGCTTGTTGTGCTCTAATATTACCCGCCTTTGCATGCAACACAAGCCAGTGCTGTTTACTTGCTAGTTTGTCTGGGCTAGTAAATGAGTGTTTATTTTGACTAGTGATGGGCATAAATTTGTATTTAGCAGTTGTGGCTGAATTGTCAGTGAACTTTTGCATGCATTGCTTTGGTATATCCCGTTCTGATTCCAGTGAATCTTTTGTAACAAACTTGGTTTTTAACCATTTTTGCTCAAGCCGTCACTGGTATGATGTAGGTGCCATCAGTGTTTCTGACTTCAGCTAACAAAACTTTATCGACCAAATGGCATGTGTTGTATACGATCTGTTTTTGTTTGGTTCATACTCCAACTCTCTTAACATGATCACTTTTCCCTGCTTTTGTGTTCAGTTACAGCAGCAGTCAGTGGATCCTGCTCTTGTGCCCTTATCGGAGGCACAGGTACCTGCCTCTCAGCAGAAAAACATCTTTCAGGTGATCTGACAAAGTCGAACATTCTATTTGTTCTAAACAAGTTATTTTAACTAATTTATACTCGACAGGACATTAGGAAACTCAGTAATGTGAAATCACTGTAAGAAATGGTGCAAACTGTTGTCAGAAATGCGTAAACATAAGTTCATGCACACAAATCACTGCCTTTTTGAATAACTCGGGCACCAGTAATTTACTGTAGTAAATTATATCTATCCTGCGGTGTTGAGACTGCTTTAGTAACCTTGTAGCTGAAGCTCACATCTTATTCTTATTGTATTATAACACCGTTCTAGTTAAGTTAATGGTGTTGAGTTGACAAAGAATATAAGATCTTGTGCTTTAGGAATTATTGGTTGCCCCTCATGGCCCTGTTCCTGCCCCTGTGCCTGGCTTCGTACACCACCGTGCTTCACCCCCACTCTTCCCACAGAGACAGGACTTTTTCCCAGGCATGCCACCTGCAACAGGTAAAATGAGTTAGCCTAAATGTAACTGATTTTAAACTAAGAGAGGCATGTTAAATGTGCAACATGAATGTAATTTGTTCATGCCACGTTCCTCACCCATCTTTTGTTGAATCTCAGGGTTCCCTGCTAGCCCACAAACTGTGTTAGATCAAATTCCAGACTTGCATCGGGCCAGGAATACACCACAGGTAAAACTCAAATACTAAAGCAAGGTTTTTTTGTTTTGTTTTGTTTTTTTATATAAATGTATGCTTGTTACATTTCAAGAAGTCTACATGTGATAAATATGTAGACTTCCTGTGTGTGTGTGTATATATGTGTATATGTGTGTATATGTGTGTGTATATATATATATATATATATATACACATATATATATATATATATATACACACACACAAACATTAATATCTAAATATTAAAATTCCTTCCCATTTAAATACCAATATTAAAATATCAACTCTTCATGACGTTTTAAAAATACATTTAACAATATTTATCAGTGGTTCTGAGAATCTACATATTCTCATTGTGTAAAGGCTGTTAACAGGCTATAAGGATAAAATATACTAGAGTATGTACTTGGTTTTGCATTTTGTTAATCGGAGATGAATTCCTTATTCTTAGATGAGAGCTTTGCCAATGGGAGTGGACCAGGCCAGTCTGGAAGCTTTGTTTCAGCAGGAACTGGCAGTTCTTAATCACCCACAGTACCAACAAGGCTACAACAAACAGGCTCACGATAAGGCATTTCGTAACAGGTAATATTGATTATCAGACACAATAGGCAGGTTGGCCTAAAGCAAGCCTTGCTAATGGTTTCAGCCTCTTGAATCACTGAGTTATCTTTTAGTACTTGGTTACTCATCTTGAATTGGACTCTCCTGATTTTTGTACATTTAAGAGCTGTAAATTGAAAAGGTGAAATTTAACCAGATTTGAAACTTTTATGCTTTTATTCATAAAATGAACCGTTGCTATATCCAAAAGAGTAACCTAATGAATGGAAGGGGTTGATGATGTGTACAGTGACACATTGATTTATTTGCATCTATATCTCCTGTTTTGTAGACCAACCAGGATGAACCGTTCACCTGGGCCTCACCTGCCTGGACGGACATCACCTGGCAATACAGTAACAAGTGTGGTAAGCCAAATCCATCACATTTAATTTAACTGCCATGGAGGCATTTGATCATACATCTGATGTATTTATCAACTTCCAGCATTACAGAGCCATTTTAATGTTTTGAATTAACTTAAATGTCCTTCTATAGAATGAAAACGCCAACGAACAAATTACTTGGTGTTTGGTTTAAACAACCTTTTCCCCCCTCTTGTTGCAGCTGTCTCCATCTTTCACTCCCACTTCTGTGATCAAAAAAATGTACGAGTCAAAAGAGAAAGGTCGAGATGATCCTGGGAGTAGACCAGGAAGTAAAGAGGAGACCGTGAACTCCCATAACTCACAGGAGGGTATGAAGCAATGCACATACACCAAGAGATCAGAGCAGGGTGAATAAACAGTAGCTCTTTTTTCCTATTTCCTAAAGCAATTACCTTTTCATTTGTAGATGGGCCTCCATCACCCAGTTCCTTTCTGGAAGATGTGGACACAAGTGGTCCTCAGACTGGTGGGGTAAAGGCATGCTCCACCCCCGTTCCTACTCCAAATCGTCATAGTAAAGACCCAGACCGACCTAGGCCTCCTTCAACAACTGGCCACCACACTCCCACCATGCTGTCACCAGGGCCCTCTTCTCCCTTCCCCAGGCCCCAGATGTATCCAGTTCCTTTGCTTCCCCATGTCCCTTTGATCAGACCTCCACCCCAGCTTCATCCCAGTGTGATGCAGAGGATGCTGGCTCAGGGCATCCAGCCTCAACAGCTCGGACCCACATTATTACAAACAGGTTGGTTTCAGACTTTGATTTCTCTTTATTCATACCTGTTCCAGACATGTTCCTGTTGTTAACTAAAAACGGTGAATAGTGAAGTTCTTTCTCTGCATGAACAGGCATGTTCCCTCAGGCTGTAGACCTGTCTCAGCTTCAGGGTTTGCCCCCAGCCCTCTTAGGGCAGCCTCTGTATCCCCTTGGTCCTGCAGGGCATCCACTCATGGCCCCTAGAGCTGCAGGAACACACATGCAGTTAGCAGTCATGCAGCAACGGCTTCAACAGCAGCAGAGACCAAGTAAGTACAGCACCAGTGTCTTAAAATGACTACATTAGAGTGTTAAACACTACTGTTCAAAAGTTGGATTGGTTAAATTTTTTTTACATGTTTTTAAAGTCTCCTTCTCAACAAAGCTGCATTTACTTTGTTGAATGCAATAAAAACATTATTGTGAAGTTGTTACTTTAATAATTTAATATTAAAAATGGACATCAATCATTTAAGACCGTAATGACTTCTGAAATTTAGTTTTGCACTGTCACATGATCAGAAATTATTCTGCTCTGACTTGGTGCTCAGGAATAATTTTGATCGGTGTTAAACAGTTGTACTGCCCAATTTTTTTTGTGGAAACTTTTTTTCTTTTTTTTTTTAAATTAAGGATTATTTAAAAACAGCATTTATTTGAAATGGAAGTCTTTTGTAACATTAAAAGGTCTTTACTGTCACCGTTTACTACCATTTAATGTCATTGCTAAAAAAAAAAAGTCTTTTAAAAATGTGGATATCAGTTTCTGTCTAGAGAACAGGGTGGCTAGAGAACATGGCTGATAATCCGATTATAATGCAATCTAATGATTATAAATGCAATTCAGAGAATTGCTGATGTGATGGTTTTTATTTTGAGCTAAAACGATCTCATTGCCATAAAGTCAGCCAATTTATCAGTCTGTTACTAGATTCAAGCTTTTAAACATTTATTACTGAAGCTTCAATTTTATTGTCTTTGCCATGATGACAGACTTTCTGCTGACATGGCGATAAAAAAATTAAACAAAATATTGATGCTTTACTTCCAGACAGAAGAGAGAATATATTACATTTTTACAAATAAATATTCTAATTGTTTAGCTTTTTTTTTTTTTTGCCTGGTTTTTCAATCATTTAATTTTCTCCACAGATCTGCCAGTGGCTCCATCGGGAGGCCCCCAGTCACAGAGCCACGGTCCTCATTGGACAAACCATTCACAGCAAAGAGGTGGTAGCCCTCCTCTGGGTCTGGCCAAGTGGTTTGGTTCTGACGTGCTGCAACAGTCCCTCCCTTCTATGCCGTCTACTAAAGTAATCAGTGTTGACGAGCTCGAGTTCCACCAGTGATGACATCCTGTGACCAGTCAGCAGGAGTGAAGCAAGACATCCCTTCCCTTCCCCACTACCCTCTAGTTGGAAAGATATGAACTTTGATTTCTACTATAATGTACAGATGTCAGAGCCCTGTCTATTTTTCTGTGCTCTGTCTGAAACCCTTGCAGTTGCTAAATTTCTTTTATTTAATTTTTTTTTAAAAGGCCTGAAGTTGAGGAAAAAGGGAAAAGACACTGGGTTTTTTTCCTACCGCTTTTGTCACAAAGTAGTTTCTCATAGTTTTTGTTTTGAATTTTCAGTTTTTGCAGTAAAGTAAATAATGTATAGGCCTGAATTTGTACAGATTATGTATTTTCAGATTATTACAAAACAGATTATTTTCTGTCTTTATGTGGGGAAGGTTATCCTGCTATTGACAAACTGGAAAGTTGCGTTTTGTCCAGTCACAATGTCTGCACAATGTTCCATGTTTCCCATCTAGGGTTGATCTGGGCGGAAAAGGGCGCCACTGCTGATTGCCGGTTTGTTGGAAAGGAGATGTTTGTGTGTAGCAATTTAATGCATCCCTAATCCAGAGATACATGCCCTTGAAACTTTTGCTGGAATATTGAAGCCAGCATGTTCTGCAAGAGGGGACAGTCTTCCACCCCAAGAAGTGAATGCTAGTTGTGCCTTTGTTTCCTTTTGATGTGTGTTGTTTTTTTTTTTTTTTAAGCAAAAAGCCCTCCCATCCCTTCTCCAGCCAGTCTTGGTCACCGTATGAGAAGCACTGCTCTGAATCACATTTGTTTTAGGGTGGCAGGGGTTGGAAATTAAGTAATGTGCTATTAATTTAAGAAGCACAAATAGTTGATAAATATAAAAAAAATAAAAATCATTCACATAAAATTGTTGTCAAGGTCTCATTGATTTCAAGGTCTTAAATTGTCTGCCTGGGAAAAAAGCTAACTTTTCAGAGGGTTGATTGATGAAATTTTCTGCTCTGAATGGCTGTATGTACATGGTGTTCTTTGCTCTTAATGCCCCAGTTCTTCCATATTCCAGAGAAACTGGACAGTCATTATCCTCTATGCTTGCAAGTAAATTATCAAAATGCCAAAACTGCTGTAGCACATTGTAGAATTTATTAGCGTTGCACATATCAGGCGTCCTTGGTAAATAAAGGAGTCTGTTCTAGTGTTAACCATGCATGTCCAAGCCATACTCCCTTTGCCATACTTCTGTACCCAATCTCATGGCCGATTGGCCAGGTGTTATTTTTCTTTTCTGAACAATATTGTTTTGTTATATGGGGCTTTTCACAAACCCAAGGACACTGGATAATGCATGGACTGAAACTTAAAAGCAGACAAACTACATAAGTACAACACAACATGAATATGAAGGCAAACTGAACAAAAACTGATTGCAATTATTAATCGGAGCACATTTCAATGTTATCTGAAAAAACAGACAACCACCCAAGAAAGACAATCTGAGCTCAAAAACTAATAAAATATTGTGGTGTGAAACCAGTGTTTTATGCAATTTTATGATTTTTTTTTTTAAAAACCATGTTTCCCTAAAAGCATTTGTGCATCTGATTTCCAAAACTACAGGGCAGTGTAGTCTACAACAATTACCTTTCTCTATTGTTTGTCTTTGTACTTGAAATGTACAGTACCAGTTCAGGAGAGCAGCTGTCTGTCTGACTGACTGTCTAGGCTACAGTGCCAGTTCAAGAGTTTTGACACTTCACTTTAATTTCGTTCACGTTTACTGTATGTTTTCTAATTGGTTACAATGTCTAAAAGAGAGAAAGAGACGGTCTGCTGTCATGTATTCGGTGTCTGGCGTACATTTGGGGGAGGGGGCTCGCTGGAAAACAAGGATGTGAATTCATAACGCTGCGAACCAGGAAGACGGACGCGAAACTTAAATTTCGGTGTGTGACTAGTATCTGCGCTTTATCTTTGGACCGAAGTAATGTATTAAACTGTGCTAAAAACAGAAAATATTAAACGCGAACGACACCCCCTCCCTTTAAGCAAAGGTCGAAGTTCACAGGAAGCTGGGGGGCTGCCATTTTTCCCCCTGCTAACATGTTAGATGCTAAAAAGGCGAGGAGTGGTGGTCGCTGCTGAGTGCTTCTCTTTATTGGGTGTTTGCCGTTCGTTTGCGTTTGTCTACCTCTTCTGTCGTATGCGTTAGGCTCGGTTGTTGAATGAAGGCGGCATGGAGAGGACAGAACAGCCGTGGAATTCCTCCTACACGTACCAGGTGAGCAAACACAGCGCAGAGATGCTACACAACCTCAACAGCCAGAGAAAAGATGGAGGCAGGTTTTGTGATGTTATCTTGCGCGTCGGAGAGGAGAGCTTCCCCGCGCACAAGGCGGTGCTGGCGGCGTGCAGCGAGTATTTTGAGTCGGTGTTCAGCTGTCAGGCGGAAGACGACGGCCAGGGCAAGGAGCTGGAGATGCACACGATCAGCCCCAAAGTTTTCCGAGACATCCTAGACTTCGCGTACACCTCTAAGATCGTGGTGCGTCTGGAGTGCTTCCCGGAGCTTATGACCGCGGCGAAGTTTCTGCTCATGCGATCTGTCATCGAGATCTGTCAGGAGGTCATCAAACAATCCAACGTGCAGATCCTCGTGCCTCCTTCCCGAGGAGGCGAGCACAGCCTGTTCAGGGCCGCGGAGCAGCTGTCATACCCCCTGCCCGTGGACATGTCAAACGGGAGCGTGTCCAGCGGCGCAGTGTTTACCGACAACAACGACAGCGACAGTGCCGATCCGACGCAACCAAGTAACAGCTCTCAGCCGGCCGCTTCCGGAGCACAAGCGGCCGATCGCTTAGCGGTTTCCCCGCTGGAGTTTCCCAGCAGCCACCTCAATAGCGACGGCTCCAAGCGAGGCAGAGGGAGACCCAAAAAAGAGCCCACGACAGAGCCGATCACTTACAACAACAGCACTGCTCAAAACGAAAACGAGGGGATTTTCTCGTGTGGGGTTTGTGGTAAGATGTTTCCCGACGACGTCCAGTTGAGAAACCACGAGACGCAGCACGGGACGTTCACCGGCGGCGTGAGCACCAGAGCGGAGCTGGTCGCTGTGGACGGCCCGACGATGATCTCTCATCCCCAGGCGCGGTTTCAGGAAAACGGACTGCCCGCGGACAACCGTAAACGCGAGAGGACGAGACGACACGTCGCGTGTGATCTGTGCGGGAAGGTCTTCCGAGACGTCTACCACCTCAACCGGCACAAACTGTCTCATTCGGGCGAGAAACCGTACGCGTGTCCGGTGTGCGGGCTGCGCTTCAAACGCAAGGACAGGATGTCTTACCATGTGCGGTCTCACGACGGCTCGGTGGGTAAACCTTATGTCTGTCAAAGCTGCGGGAAAGGTTTCTCCAGGTGAGCGCAGTCATTTATGAATGCTTCTATACATACACTGCATTCGTTTTGTATTTGTGTCATCATACATGATTTGTGTGATGTTTTTGTTTTTGTAGGCCAGACCATCTGAATGGACATATTAAACAGGTTCACACCACAGAGAGACCTCACAAGTGTCAGGTGAGAAATGCTACATTTTAATGTATGCCCATTCTCATGTTTCAAATCTGTATGGCTTTCTTTCATATAATGAATTTCTTAATCATATTCCAGTCACTCTTTTCCATATAACGAAAGTGACAGGACTGGGGCTGTCATACTCAAACATCACAACAACAAAAAGCACACCATAAAATACAATAAACTTATGAAGCCATATGGTAGCTTTGTGTGAGAAACAGAAATAACCACTATGTTAATACCGTGTCTGAAGAACTAGTTTGACTAACTAGCAGTTAACCAAGTGGTAAGTGGTCTTATTTTTGGATTTAAATGAGACTGATTTTAAAAAGTTATGACCATTTTTGCAGAAACAGTTAGATGGCTAACTTTTAAGACTACCCTAAGCAGTTTATGCAACCGCCCCTTGAATTTTTATCGTTATTCACGTAAAATCTTGCTTTGGCACACATACAAAATGTTTTTTTTTTCTTCAATTAATCAAATAATCTCAATTCAAGATTATTTCTATAGCACTTTTCACAATATAAATTGTTGCAAAGCAACTTTAGAGAAAATGTACGTTTCTATTTTAAAGTTTCTACATAATATTTAGTAGTAGCTTATCAGTGGTGACTATGTCAAGTTGATGTCCATATGGCAGAAATGTACAGTAAAATTCATGCAGTTAGTTAATGACATGTAATCAAACAGACATGGACATTATTAACTGTAATGATTATATGTTGTGATTTAAATTTATAGCAAAATTTGGTAGTTTTGTTTGTTGTTTGAGGGTTTGCATCATCTGAGATCCTCTGGGGGGTTGGCATCATCTCTTCTCTGGTGTTCGGTCATCTCAGATCTTCGTAAGGGCTGGATTCAGACTGAAGCTTGTGTAATTACTTCGGGATGCCAATCCCGTGGCAGAAACAGAGAAGCAATGAATCAATTTCTGCAGTTCACAAATCTGGTCTCACTTTCTGCATCCTAATTTGCATACTTCCCATCCTAAATACTAAAAGTATTCCGGTTTAGAATGAGTGTGTCCCAAATCATAGTATATTACAATTATGTGACAGAGTGGTCCATTGAAGACGCAATTATGACATGGTAGTATGTCCCAAATCTTGTCTACACTTCTGCTACACACTCAAAAGTATGTACTGTTTCTTAACAAAAACAAGATCTACTTTTATGGGATAATATAATTTGGATGCAGCAAATGATTCATTCACAAACCAGATTGACCAGGTTAGTTTAACTTGTAGTTATTATCAAGCTACAGTGGGATTTTAGTCAGATTAAAGCATCTACATGGCCTTCAAAAAATTGAATTGTTGCTTTAGTCTGTGCATGTAAAAACACTGGTGGTCACAGTGGTTAGCAGTTTGCTGCAGGAGATTATTATCAGTAAATAATGACATTAAGTTGGCATGAAACAGAACTTGCAATCATCTTTTCTACCGTACTGTGACGCGTATATGAGTAAAACAGCTTTTCGAACAAGAACAAATGGAGGGTTGGACTGGACTGAATATTGACTGAGTTAATTTAAAGTCCCCCTGTAGTGAAAATCAAGTTTTTTTATGTTGTTTATTTGTCTATGTGGTGTTTTTAATATGCTTTTAGGCAAACCATGTGCCAATCAATTAATCAACACCATTGCTGAGTATTTTCTCCTTAAATTACAAGGGTGCTGGGAGAAACGAAGCTTTTCGAAGCATTGAATCAATTGAACCAATTGGTTTGAAAAATGATTCGATGTTTCGAAGCAATTGCACATGCTGGCGAGTCGACACCTGCTGGAAACAGTGTGACGTAACGAAGCTTCGTTTGCTAAAATCACGTGACCTGGCCGGTTTGATACGCGCTCCGAAACACTGATTCGAAACAAAAGATTAGCAAATGTTTCGAAGCTTCATGAAGCAGTGATTCGAACGCGCCCATTACTAGGGTGCATGCATTAAAAAAGTGATGTGCACAGATATATAATTTATAATAAACACTGCGATATTCCATTGAGAAAAGTGAAATTTAGATTTTCATGGTGACAAGATGGTTCTTCACTCAAAGCTATAATATAATTTGGCTTCAAAAGATTTGTAATATGTAACATGTTATTATTAGTCATATTGAACACTTTCAGGATGGGATGATCCTTTAATGATGCTTTTTTTGTTGTTGTTTTAGATCTCGACAGCTCAGGTCCTCGTTCACATTCATTATATGTACTAGAGTGGAATTTAAATATTTGAGTGAACACCTCCATTAAATCAACTTTCTGTTTTGATAACACTCCCAAAAATGACCTCTCGGAAAATGCTTGTAAACCATATCTTGAAACGTCTCAGATTTGCAACGCATCTTTCGCAACACGAGATCGCCTGAGGTCACACCTGGCATGCCATGAAGATAAGATACCATGTCAAGTGTGTGGGAAATTCCTCCGGGCTGCCTACATGACCGACCACTTGAAAAAACACAGTGAAGGACCTCATAACTACTGTGGAATATGCAACAAAGGTACTGGTCAGACACGCATTGAAAATAACTCATTTTATCAAGGTGTTGCTTATAAACACAGCAGAACTTGTGCTTACAAAATACCCAGCTAATGATCCACATTTTCATTGCCACTGACACCATCCTTAGTAAGTTAGCTTAGGCTCACAGAAACTGATTGGCTTATTAATGCAGAAAACTGTCTAAGGGGAAAAGGCTGAAGTTTTAAATAGTAGTACTGAAAAGGTTTGTGGCTTATGCTTTATATTTTTTGAAAGCCATAGAGTAACCTTCTGATTAATAAGACTGAGTGTTGTTCTGTTTTTTGTTTTATTGTTTTTATTTGTTTTTCCTACTTGTTCTTCCGATGGTCTCAGGTTTTTCTACTGCATCCTACTTAAAGGTGCACGTAAAAATGCACCACAGCTCGACCATGCTCCCTTCCTCTGCAGCACATCAGTTCCCTGAACCACGCACCAACAGACCACAGATGCACAACGGCGCCCCCTACCACTCAGGACGCCAGTGCGCAGTGGAAGGCAAGCAAGCCTCTCCCCACAGCGTCAAATTGTTGCTCGCTCACTTGCTGTCTTTTTCACTGCTGCTTATCAGATGCTGCATCTGCTTGCATATAAACTCACCGCAAATACAGATTGTAGCGCTGCACATTTATCATTTATTGCAGCATAATGTGCAGGGAATCAGAGATATGTGTTCAGAATTTGGCAGTCTGAATTACATCATCTTTTAGGACTTTTCTCTCAGTGGATGAGAATGGATGTTTGTAATTGTAATTGCATTTGTAATGATACCTTTGTATCAATTGACTGATGAGGTATCGAGTATGTAGATAGTTCTTATAGTTTTGCAAACTTAATGGATGGCTGCCAGATGTAAATTCAAAGTACGTTATTCATTATTTGGCGTACTGGCAAAATACTAAAATGAGACTAAAAAGATTTACTTTTAAAAGAATAGTTCATCCCAAAATGAAAGTTTGCTGAAAATATTCTCACCCTCAGGCCAAGATGTAGATGAGTTTGTTTCTTCATTGGAACAGATCTACAGAAATCTCTCACCAGTGGATCCTTTGCAGCAAATAGGTGCTGTCAGAAGGAGAGTCCAAACGGCTGATAAAAAAAAATCTCAATAATTCACAAGTAATCCACACGACTCCAGTCCATCAGTTAATATCTTGTGAAGTAAATAACTGTTTGTAATAAAACAAGTCCACCATTAAGGTATTTTAACTTCAAAGCGTTGCTTCTAGCCAAAAAACAACTCCGTAATAATGCTTACTCAGGAATACTTGTGGATTATTGTGATGTTTTTATCAGCTGTTTGGACTCTCATTCTGACGGCACCCATTCGCTGCAGAGGATCCATTGGTAAGTAAGTTTTTCCAGATCTGTTCCGATGAACACACAAACTCATCTACATCTCGGATGGGCTGAGAGTGAGTACATTTTCAGCAAATTTTCATTTTTTGGGGAATTATTGCTTTAAATTTCTATATTAGTCTTTATTTAAATAAGGTGAATTTAGAGATACAGTTGATTTAAGACCTGAGCTAAATAATAGTTGCAGCCCTATCAATCAGCTTTGTCTGCTAGTCACTTTGCTGCTGACCAATTTAGCATGGCCATGTGTCCCATTCTGTGTCGCTTATCATCTCCATCAAGTGCTGGCATAATGAAAGCGTTTTTGATCCTTCATTCATGCATGTCCACATAAGTGCACAATACACGCTGTGCATTATTTCTGTGGATTTAATGGACCTTTTTCAAACAATTATTGCCATAAAATCCAGCAGCTTGTGATTGGGAATGTCCTTACTGAACACTGAACATAGGAAACAATATGGAGACAGCATTTTCTCTAACGGACTAAAAGTATTCTAGAATCTTTCCATGACACCTTAGTAATGGAGATGCCAAGAATGATGAAAATTAATTTTTTTTTCTTGTTTCCAGTTAATTACTATGGGGATGAGAGGAAGTGAATTTATTTTTGATCTTGTAATGCAAGCTTTAGGGTTTTGGCAGTTAATATGCAAAAAGTAACGCAGAAATACATCAGAAAGGTGCCATTAACTTTACATCAGAACAGAATTGTCATTACAGTATCACTCCAACAGTATCATTGAGCTGCTGGCTTGGCATGTAATGAAAGAAAAAGATTCATTCATTCAAAACTTATTTTTGTCATTTTAGCTTTGAACAAACAATGTTTCTGAACTGATGTGAAGCTAGAGGTCATCTGACTGTACTGACTGCGAATTGTCCCCCTTGGCCTCTGTCTTTTCCTCTACCCATATCCCTTAACTCTTGGGGCGGTTACTGGCATGTAGGCCTTTGCACCAGTCGCCGGCTCGTGGTTACCTTTCCCGAGACAGAGGGGTCTTTTCGGGGGCTAACTGGGCCAGTTCTACCCCAGCCCGTCCCTCCGGCCCTCGGCCTGCAGCCTGAGCTGCTCCTGGGCAAGCCAGGTCCAACTCCCTATTTCTGGGAGTGCCGCTTTCCTGGAGCACCAGGGTTTCCGCTTCATGGACCTCTTACAGGTCAGTACAGGCTGTTTTGAGGGTGGCAATGTGGTGAGCCAAAGAACTGAGGATGTCTGGATGCTGTAACTGATAAGTCTGGTGCAAATATCTGCTAAGCACCATTAACATTTACAAGAATGTTAAGTAAAATATCGTCTGGGTTTCAGTTCTAACCTAATAATTGTCTCGTCAGTATTTTGCTCATGCTTTTGTCTGGTGGTTCTCAGTGCTGCTTGATTTTCAGCAGTTTGCTTTAACAGCACCCAATTCTGACCTCTTGTCTTTCATAATTTATGCTTTGGAAGAACTGGACTGTATTTATTCTTAGGTTTCTGGGTCTGTAAAATGCCCTGTAACCAACTAGAGTTTAAATTATTTTGAGTACAAAATAGTGGAATAGAGTTTAAGAGACTGTAACTCTAGATCCTTGGTACTCAACATGTTGTTCATAGAGTGAACATGTTACTCTTTAATGAGAGTGTTGTAGCACAAGGTCTAATTTTCCCCCAAATATAGTGCTTCTCAGCCAATCAGAAATGATCTATGGTCTCATGCGCTGAAGTGTCGCTCATTTGTTAGTAGCTAGGAGAACTACTTAGTTAGTAGGTCAGGCTTAATTTCAGTAACATGTAGAAAAAAGTGAGCACCAATCATTCAGAGCAGAGTAGAGAATTCAGTTTTTCATGGTTGTTGATTGGTAGAGTCTACTTTGTGGTAGAGAAATCTCCACATTTTTAAAGGGATAGTTTACTAAAAAATTTAAATTATGTCATAATTTAGTCATTTTTATGTTGTTTCAGAATTGTTTGACTGCCTTTCATTTGTGGAACATACAAGAAGATATTTTGAGAGATTTTCTTGTCCATAAAGTTTAAATCAGTGGGCTCCAGTGTTGTTTGGTTCTTGGGAGTTTTTCAAAATATCATCTTTTGTGTTCCAGACTAGAAATTCATACAGGTTTGGAACAACCTGAGGGTGACTAAATTATAAAAATTTCCTTTTTGCTCCCAAACTAATGTTAAGTGCCACTGCTCTAGAGCCTAGGATCTCAGTAGACTAAAAATCGGAAGTATTAATTTTCCATATAATGTTGTACGCAATAGGATGCAGTTTACTTTTATTATATTTCTCTTTCTTACACAAAGTCACAAAACAGCACAAAAAAATTAGACAAGCCACAAACTAATGATCAGTGAGGGCCAAGCTGTTTTTATACTGAAACAGGTTTAGATAAGTAGTTGCTGTGGTCATGAGGATTTAGGTATAAAGGAAATATTTTTATTTTTAGATGTGTTGCTTAATGTGAGGCTCCTTCTCTCTTCCTATATATCTCTCTGTCCCCCTCCTTCCCTGATATCCCCTTCCCCACTCTGTGTTTACCTCAGACGGGCAGGAGAATGCTGGGAAATGCCCCCATCAGGACTCTGATGGATCGGACGCAGTTTTCGGTGACTTTTCCAACGGAACGGACCTCAAGGCTGAACAGAAAGTAGAGGGAGAAGAAATGGAGGTGACATCTTTCATCTTCAACGGCCAACCTGAGGATGCATTGACCTCACCGGGGGGATCCAAAAACATCCAAACAATAGACCAAGAAAAGAAGTTTGCCTGTGGCGACTGTGGCCAGACCTTCCGCACAAAGTCTTACCTCAACAAGCACCATCACCGGGTTCATAAGAAACGTGCTGCGGCCGGGTCGGGTCTCGGTGATCTTGGCTCACCCTTTTCCCCCCAACAGAATATGTCACTTCTTGAATCCTTTGGCTTTCAGATCGTCCAGTCAGCCTTTGCCTCCTCACTAGTGGACTCTGAGATGGGCAGCAGTGGAATGGGTTTAGGGGAGAAATGACCCCTTTGAGATGCAGACATTTCTTATAACCTTATTGGACAACCAAACTTTTCATAACTGCGAGTTTAGTCTGTTGTCTCATACTCCTTGACGCCATATGTAGACTACTTTTTGTTTTGTTTTTGGCTTTTCTTACTATTCTAATGTTTGTTAATGTTTTGACTTTGCCATCATGGATGCCATTTTGATTCCATCTTGGTGTGAAGCAGCTAATCTGTTTATTCCTCCTTCGACAAATCCTCAATTTCATTGGTCTATCCTTAAAAAAATAATAATTCATTGCTTTTGACATGTATGTGTATCACGTGTGTCTCTCAGCTTCCAGATTGTGGATTGAGGATGATGCCCCAAACTTTCAGAATGTACCTCTAGGTTATTTTTGCCCAGACTTACCTCACCGAGAAGCATAACATTAGCAAGCATTACAATTTTAACAGTCTAAACAAAAGTTTTCACAATCAGAAAACACTGAGACTGTGTAATTTGCGCAGCTGTTGCAGTCCAATGGCCATTAACACCTAGATATAAAACAAAAAAGATATAAATATTTTAGTCTTTTTCTGTATGAGTTACTTTAACAAATACTTAAATGATTTTAAATCCTTTAAAACTTCAGGCTAAATAATGGCTGTTAAAGTGTTAGTTCATCCAAAAATGAAAATTAGCCTGTGCTTTACTCACCCTCGAAGCATCCTAGGTGTATGTGGCTTTCTTCTTTTACTTTATCAAAGGAAAACCAGTCTCCTCTTCGAAATCCTCCGACATTTTTCTTTACAAATCCTCGTTTTGTGCTTCTAATTCGTGACCGGCATTTTGTTTTGTTTTGTCTCCACGTTCGTCACTAATCGCGCAACACCGACGTCCTACGTCATCCGCCGGAACGGCTTCCGCGTTTGACAGTCAGCGGAAGTGAGAAAAAAGTGTTTATTATGTTTGAAATATGGATATTTATTTTACAAAAATGCATGGATTCGCTACAGAAGGCCTTTATTCACCCCCCGGAGCCATGTGAGGTACGTTTTATTACGGATGCGTGCACTATATTTCACGTCTTCTGAACTGTTGACAACCAACACCCGCTTACCCCCACTGAAAGGCTTGGAGGGGCCAGGACCATTTTTAATATAACTCCGATTGGGTTCGTCTGAAAGAAGAAAGCCACATACACCTAGGATGCTTCGAGGGTGAGTAAAACACAGGCTAATTTTCATTTTTGGGTAAACTATCCCTTTAACTTAGTCATTTTTGTGGTGTTTCCTTGTTTTTTTATCATTGGTAGTTCTGAGACAGATTGTTTTGGGTCACAAAAAGTGTGTCCGTTTTTAATGTCCAACAGCGTTTCAGGTTTCACTGTAAGATATAGCAAGAAGCAAAGAATATATTTTATTAACTTATTGATACCGGTGTCCAAGTCTCCTTTACGCAAAGGTATATATTGAGTTTTGTTGCAATGTGCTATTTTCTTGAATCATGCAGCCGATAGGAGGACGGCACGAGAGTGATGACATGTATGTATGAGTACACGTTTGTATGCTGCGGTCTCTCATATGTCCTTTATCTCTAGAATGTAATATAAACAGAGGGCTTTTTAATCTTTTTTTAATATATCAGAGTGGTTCAGTACATTCCTGCTTAATTTAAAGTCTTGTCACTATACATGACGTAACATTCATATATATATAACAAATATGTATGTATGTATGGCCAATTATATTAGTTTATGTAAACGGGTTCCTTGTAAATAGATATTTTCCTTGACCTTGTTGATTTGATGGATCTTTCTTTTCTTGTCTTTTTTTTTTTTTTTGGGGGGTAAGTTTTAACATGAAAAAGCAAACAGCCTTTCTTTGGTAGTGATGAAGAGTATATGAACCTCCAGAATTGTTTTAAGTTGTTATTGACACATCCATAATTTTGTTGTGTCTTTATTATTATGCAAATATTTGAGTGTGTGTTTGGTGTTACCCTGTTCCTCTTACTCTAAATGCAGTGTTAATGCTGGTTACCTTTCCTTTAATTTTACCCTGCAGGTTATTAGTATAGTGTACCATAAATGTATTTGGAGTATTTGGAATGGCAGTTTGTACAACGTTGCCGAGGTTTTGCAAGCGGTCACTCATGATTGAAGCTACGAATGACAATGTACAGACACAAAAAAAATCTTTATTTTATTACCTTATGTACTTGTTCGACTTACTGTTTTTATGTGCAGCCGTAAAATCTGAAGCGGACTGATCTGAGCAGTGGAAAACCTGCAGGTTTTTTAGCTTCAGCTTACTTATTTGACTAATCATTGCTAATATCAGATCATAACATCTGTTAATTGATTGCAATTTTACAATTCTAATAGTAACAATCATTGTCTGCCCAGTAAGTGTGATCTGAATATTTGCAGCCCTTATTTATTTACTAATTTTAAGTTGTAGGGAATTCTTCAGTTATTTTTATTGTTGTTATTTGTGTCTTGTATGATGTTCTGGCTTATTACATCACTGGAAATGTTTGTTTGTTTTCTTGCTTATCTATTTGTATATTTGTATGTTGCAAAGTGCCTTCCCAGTACTGATTGTGAACAGCGATGGGTAGGAAAAATCTGTCATTTAAAGGACCTATCTTATAAAAACCATATACAAACAGAGTTGCATTGACACTTTTGTATAAAGACATGCACATAGAAAGGTGTACATTTGTACGTTTGGTATTCTACCTTTTTTGTTTTCTGACAAAATGTTGTTTCTCTGCCATTTATGTCACAACGTTGATCAATTTTTGGACATTTGGATATAAGCATACTTTTCTATTGATGTTTGTTTTTGTACACTGTTTTTGTGTCTCTGTCTATTTGGTACAGAGATGGGTATAAAATAAAATTGTATTTGAAAATTTTCTTTCTTGTGATGAGCACTTCAGAACACATAATTGTGCATATTGTTCTAGGTTATTTTGTGTAAAAACAGTGTGACTCTGGCAACCTGTGTAGTTTTTTGTTATTTCATACTTGACTGATCCAATCATAACACATATATATATATATATATAATATTCATAAGGTTATTAAATGAGGATTATTTGGTAATAAGGCCAAAATATAACAGAAAACCAAAATTGTGCTTTTCATTATTGCTAATATTGTACCTTCACATGCAAGCATGAATCTTTGCATAGACATGAGTGCTGCCTTGATGAGGATTCCAAAATCTCTTTCCTGCTGCTTGTCTGATTGAAAGTCAAAATCATAAAGATACACAAGTAATGGCCCAGTAACAATGACAAGAGGCACAAAATATTTGCTTAAAGGCTTGTTATTTTGACACCAGTTCCAATAAAGAGTTAATCCATTCTTTTGAATTCATACAATTGTGAAGCACAGATCCAAGGTTAAGGCATCAGTGACTATCAGTTTCTGCTTCATTAATGAACCACATCTATTTATGCATATTTTTTCAATAAACAATTCCAACCTGAGGCTGCATGTAAGGCCACATGTCTCTGAAATAAACTAACCACACATCTAACCACACAAACTAACCACATATTCTCATTTTATTTATGTGCAATATTGCATAATGCAGTACAGCACTCCTTTTTTGTGTTTCCATTTGTATTATAAGCCTGGCAGCAGAAAAGTAGAAAATATGCATAGGAAATGCAGAAAGTCACACTTAGTGAGATTGGAAATGTTGAAAATCTTACTTGAAAGAACAGCAGTGTACATCAGGGTTGAAGTGCAGCAGATGAATAAATAAACCATTCAAATGAATACTTAATTTTTTATAAATTGAAAAGAAAGAAAAAATCCAAAAGAAACAGAATTATAACTTCTCTCACCCTCTGCCCCGCACTCCAAAGTCCATACAACTTGGTGGATGTTCATCTGAGGACTAAGGTAAATATTACCTTAAATGAAAATGAGAACGATTTTACAGTCAACCCAAAACAATAACCAGCACAAAAAGTACTTTGGTTAGATCCAGTGTAACCTGTAAGCAACCATTTTTTCTCTCAATTTGTACATATTTCAGGCTCAACAGAACGTTTATTTCCGTTCGTTCGGATTTCTAAACCAATTCTTTAGCTCATTGACGCCATCTGTTGGCATGATGGTGGCATAATAACAATTATAATTTTGACATTAGTAGAAAAATAGTCACCTAAACATAGTTTATTAAAGTTGTTTAGAGTTAAATTCCAAAGTATCAGTCCACAATACAGATTTGTGTTACATCTGTTTTGATGCAATTTTATGCAATAATGTGCAAGTATCTTTGTTTTATTTTATTTATTTTTTTTAATGTTTTTCGACTGTCGTAATTTACCTTAACATGATCGATAAAATAGGCCGTCCTAATAAATCACACCTAAACATAGTTTATTAAAGTTGTTTAGAGTTAAATTCGAAAGTATATCAGTCCACAATACAGATTTGTGTTACATCTGTTTTGATGCAATTTTATGCAATAATGTGCAAGTATCTTTGTTTTATTTTTTTTAATGTTTTTCGACTGTCGTAATTTACCTTAACATGATCGATAAAATAGGCCGTCCTAATAAATCAAAGCTTTTGAATGTGCAAAGGCTAATGGAATTAAAGGGGTTTCTAAAACCAAAAACAAAGCAGGCTATTAGGCTGATTGCGTTTTTTTTTTTTAAATAACCCATGCTGAGCATAAAACAACCTGCAGCCCTTTTTAAAAGCGCGAGAAAGCCTGAAGCCATAAACACACCTGTTCACAAGCACACATCTGCATGCACAGAAATATGGAAGTGTGTTAGACACTTACACAGTTGGATTAAAACGTGCACACATAAAAGCAGGCACATTATTGTGTACCACATATAGCCTAGTACACTGCACTTCTGTTGAAGTGTTTCAATTATTTACATGTTTGCACTTCTGTTGAAGTGTTTTAATTATTTATACTATTATGAATATACTATATATGAAGTCACTGTCAGTGGCACAAGTAATTATTAAATATTGTGAAAAATGTCTATTAAGAAATTGTATAATGTCCCATCATAATAAGCAAATGTATAACCTAAGCACAAACTAGCTGAAAATGTGTGTCCCGTTTGTAGGATAAAATTTTGTATTTTAAGAAGCCATTTAAAAAAAGCACAAAAAAAATAAAAAAAATAAAAAAACATTATAGTGTATTTAGAATAAATGTATTCACATTTAACATACAGTTTACCAATTTGACTTCACCCTAATTTTAATGGCTAAACCATTTCACAATAGCCAAAAACCAAACTGTCAGATGTGTTAGTGTTTTTTTTGTGTTTTTTTTTTTACAAAATGAACAACTTCAGTATTAATAACTTTGATGTATGAGAATAACACATCAAGGTCTGTAGCTTTTTAACAGCCCAGTCCAGTACAAAACTACATTAAATGAGTTAGCTAGGTAATTGGTGACCTAAAACAGTATGTCCTTTTAAAGTTGGCAGAACTTTAGGTACGGTTGCCCATTTGTGCAGATAATCTTGCAGAAATAAGCAACAGATTTAGAATAGTCTTGTTAATCTGTTCTAAATACCAGACAGAATCACGTGTTTACTATGAACTAAAGCTCTCTGTTGCCATAGAATAGCTTCAGGGGTTCGCCGCCGTAAGAGTGTTGCTGAATCACACTGACCTTAAGGAAAAACATTCAGCAGAAATGTTATAACTGCACAC